AGGACTCCCAGGTCCCTCTCCGTGGAGGTGCTTTCCAGCAGGTCCACCCCTAATCTGTACTGATGCCGGAGGTTATTCCTCCCCAGGTGCAGGACCCTACACTTGTCCTTWTTGAACCTCMTGAGGTTCCTCTCTGCCCAGTCAGAGAAAGAAGGTGTTTAGAGTAGAAAGGATAACGTGGAAAGGGACATTTTTTGCAATGCTCTGAAGAGGGCAGCTGATTCATATCTGAGGTAGATGAATATTTATTTGTTCTTCCTCTGGGTATGTCAGTTGACCCAACCCTATTGCTAAGTTTTCATAGTATCTGYAGARAGGGTTGTGGGTCTTCTCAGCAGGAGTGACTCCACGGGTCCACTCTGTGCCACGGGTGCTGTTCACCTAGATGCTTCTACTGCTGCTATATCTTCCCTTTCTTTCTTACTGTCCTATAAGAATTAAACATGTTCTGCATTAATCTGTGAATTCGCTGCCTTTTCACCTTCACGTTCCTCCTTGAGAAATTCACTTAATGCCAGCACAAAACTGGCTTATTAACAGAAAGCTGCAGCATGTTGGGGTTTAACTGAAGAAAGATTTAACAAAACTGATCCCTTAGGTATGGAAGGAGAAGTGCAACAGCAAAATGTTATAGGGAAAAAAAAAAGATTTAGAGTTAGCAATCTTCATTATAGACTGGCGTCACAGCAGAAATAAACAATTCCCCCCCATTTCACTGTGCTGTGAAGACAAAGTATTGGCTTATCTTATATACTTAAATCAGATGTGCTGCTGCCTAGTGCATAGATCACCACGGCAGGGAATGGTTTCGACTTGTGCTGGCTCCTGCCTTTGCTGAGAGCATCGGAGAACGTGCTGAGAACAGAGACTGTTTCAGATGTATTTCATTATGAAACAGTCGGGGAAAGTCTTGTCTACATAAAAACTCCTCTCCCTTTTTCAGTCCATACAGAACTGAAAGGATAGCCTGGAGTTGAGGAGAAGTGTCTGCCCGGACAAAAGAAATAAACACAACAGGGTTGAATAGTAATTGCCTCATGTTTGGTTAAAAAGGAATTGAAACTGTCCGAGTTCAAGGCAAAGGGGAGGAAAATAATAGAGTATTGAGAGAGTTCAATGTGGTTTTATTTTATAGCAGTATTTTTTCCTTAAAGGAAATGTTGTAGGATGAACTCTTTTTTTTTTAAATGGATTTTATCTTTTGTCCTGATCAGTCAACCTCCCTGTAAAAATCATGTTAGCAACAGAGTGCCGTGCAAAAGCTGATGCTACAGTTACAGTCTGTTCTTATCTGCAATTTTAAATAATTTGGAGTTAGCAAGTAGTAAACAACTCTTACTATGTTAGGGAACAAATCCACTAACACTTTCTTTAGGGAGTGTTTTTGCACCGTTGGTGTAATAATTTGCTTCTGCAGCTCCTGGTGAGATCAGGCCGGGTTGTTAGGACTCAGTACCCTTCCAGATCAGCAGCTGCAAATAAGCCCAGGGGAGTGAGCGTGCRGATGTGACGGAGCTGGAAGGGGTGGCTTGGGGCTGGAGATCGGGCACCAAGCACAACAACAACAGCAAAACAATAATCTCCTCCTGAAGTTGTCTACTGTTAGGATTGTCAGAATATGGATTTTCAGGTTGCCCTCTTTGTGCTACGGCTTTTGCCTTTGCGTCAGCGGCACCATTGCTGGGTGAGGGATGTTGCTGCAGGATGGCAGAATAGTCCACGTTAGGGGTGGCTGAGACCCACCTACCCTGTTGGGGCTGCTGAAGCTCTGCTGGCACCGGCCCGAGAACGCCTGTACACTCGGGGTGTTTCTCCAGCTCCTCTGCACTTGTAGCTGTTACATCTATTTATTATCCCATTCCCCACAGAACTTTGAAAAAATCAATGAACGGTTTCCATCTCCCAAAAATATTTCATTAGCATTTGATACAGTAAACACATCCTTCATGAAGGAAGCTTTCTCCTCAGCAGCTACTCTCATAAGGGCTGTTTGTGAATGATGATATATTGTGGCTGGAGGAAGGTAACGGGAAACACAGACCYGTTCTTCTGAGAGAAAGAGGCCTTTGTGCTTGGGAAGGCCCTTCTATATCATTCTGTCACAGGTGGGCTTGCTCAGTGCTGTTAATAGAGAAGGCCAAAGGGGTAAGGAGGCAGAAGGAATGCATGGCTTCAGCGGGACACCTCGTCATTTGGGAGCCACGGATCTGTGCGTTGCCTTTCAACCTTCACAAATGAAGTTGTATGAATTATTCTGATCTTCATCCCGAGATACCTGTTTAAACAGGGTTGGGATGGGTGACGTTCACGAGGTCTGGATCTTGGGCGGAGATCCTGCAGAGAGGAGGCTGTTTGTGTGGAGCAGCAGGCGAGGGTCAAGCAGCTGTTCAGCGCTGCTGCTTGTCACTCCAAAGTCTTCTGTGTTCTGTTCCTATTTACACATGCGCTGTTCTGTTTAGSCTTACTGTCTTTTACATTTTGTCTGTTGGATTCCTTGTAGCACCGTTCATTGATTTGATTACTGTGCAGAACCAAAAGAATGCAATACATAAATATGCCTTGACATGAAAGTGAATGTGAATGGAAGAAGGCAAGAGATGAAAACGAATTTAATATTTATCAGTTTGAATTGGAAGTCTTGATCTTATGTGTCGTGTCCATGCATGGAGTTGCTCGTGTCCCCGGCTCGCTGCTGCTGTGCAGCCCCGTGGCAGGCAGTGCCTGTTGCCTGGCGTGCAGGGAGCAGCAGCACAACGAGCCTGGCTCTTGAGAAGGACGAGAAATCATTAGTTTAAATCACTAGTTTATGGTTAGAGTGGCAGTTCAATAATGCATTGGACACAGTCTGCCCTGTAGCCCCCGCATCGTTCTGGGCACTGCTGTGTGAGCACGGGTGCATTACAAGGGGGTGCCTGAAGCCGGTGCCCGTCTCCAGCTCTCCATCCTGCGGCAGCCTTTTATGGTCCAGCAAGAAACAGGAGCCAGAGCCTATCCGAGCAGCCCCTGTGCCCAGGTAACGGAGGAGCTGCAGCGCAGCAGCCAGCGAGGCAGCCTTTGCTGCTGCCAGTACATCAGCTCACGTGGAGATGGGGTCTCATCTTCCCTGGCACAGCTGGTAGGGGCAAAACTGAACTGTGGCTTTTACTGCTGTATCTCTATGCCAACTATTTTTTTTTTCCTTCTTGTTAGGTTTCGCCAAAACTCATCCCAATGAGGCAGATTTAAACCTGAAGTACAGACTGGGCCAGACGGCTTGTCCCCAGATGGGAGCACAGTGGAGAAAAATTGATGTCTGTTTTGCGATTTTCCTTTTTTTTTTTTTTTTTTTTTTTTAAGGGCTTTGTAAGTAGTTTCCAGGTAATCAGGCTGTGCCTAGCAGCCTAAATTGTATCTTTACTTGTATGACTTAACCAACTTGAACAGAAGGGTGAATTGGTTTCCTAAATTTCAAATTGCATTGTACTAAGATGTTAGGGAACAYTGTCAAAAAAGGCCTTGTAGTCTCTCTGCCAAAGACTACATTTTTTAAACAGAGTTCAGAAAATGCCTGTGTAAAGTTATAATTGCCTCTGCTTTTTGCTAATATCACTGAACCTGCAAATCACTCCTTTGCCCTGWAACTATAGCACTTACAGTGTTAATGCAATGTTAATGCTCCTGTAAAATTGTGAGTTTCTTCTAGAGTGGTGTAAGGCAAATATATGGAGCTGCGAAGAGGCAGCTGGAAAATGGACTTTTCTTTCCTGGACCTTCTAATGAGTCAGTGGCAAAACCATCCTTATCTGTGGAAACTGGGTCCTTAACCCGGAATGTATCTGCAGTTTCCGCAGTGCTGGTGTTAAGCAGCCTCTTCCTCCCAAAATGCAGCTCTGACCCTTTTTGTCCAAGTGGTGCAAGCTGGAACGGGGCTCGCCTGAAGGAGGAAAGCAGAAGGCCCYGTCCTGGCAGCGGAGAGCGGCGCAGCCGTCCTGTGCCAAGCGCTGTCGCTCCCCAGGGATCTACCATCCCTCTGCTCCCTGCCTCCGCTCAAAGGCAGATGGAGGTGGGTTTGGTGAGAGGTCTGTCCAGRGAAAGAGATGTGGCCGCTTAGGAGATTTGTCCCTATGGAGATACGATTGGAGGAGTGTAAAAGCAGTAAGTTTGCACCACTTGCTTATCAGCAGAACTCCTTGGAAGCCCTTGAAAAGGGCTTCCAAAGCCCTTGGAMGCCAAGCTTGTGATAACTAGAATGCATGCCGTGAGACAATCAAAGGAAAAGCCATTCTCTTGTACTGCTTCTGATAGGAAGTAAAGACCTCCCTTTAATTATGCTACATTTTTTCAAAAACGACTGTCACTTTATAATTAAGACTATATTGGAGCTATTCCAGATCAGCACAGTGTATCTTCATAKGTAGAGCATTGAGCTGACTGAAAAATTTGCAATTACTAAAATATAATGTTCTTAATATACAAAGTACTTAAAACACTTTAGTTAAAATAGTTCTTAGCATATGCCTGAAATCAGCACTGGAACATGCTAAGTGACTGAAAAATACATAAAATATATATGCACAAATAAGTATACATATGCCTATCATACTTGTTTGTTGGCATATGATGYAGAAAGGCATAATAAATTAACTTCATCTAGTTAATACTAGATGAAGTATTAACTTCATCTAGTGCATATTGTGGAAGGAATCTAACACATTTCTAGGGAATGGATATGAAAAGAGAAATCCTTGAATTTTTTTTTTTTTAACGGGAGTATAACATTAGTTTTGATGAACACATGAGTTCTGCAGCAGTAAAACATGTTTTGATTAGAGAGGTTGCTCTAGTTGGCTTCATTCTATAAATGTTTATTTGATAATCTCTTGCCTGTAGCAGGACAGATTGCCTTCCCTCCCACTAGGAATAGGAAAGGTGCCTTTGTAGGCACCTTCTRCGCTGGTACCTCCCCTGCTGGGTGGTCATGACTTGAGCTGCAAGGTCCCTAGGGGGGATAGGCCACTGTATGGCCTGAATAGGTATGGCCAGACCCAGCGTGGTGGGCATATGTGAAAGAAACGTGTTGACTGGGCTAGTATTTCATTTGTACATAGSATCTGAAGCTGTGTTGATCAAAGAGCTCCAGAATATTTTAATCCAGGATGAACACTTCTTTTTCCTTTTACCTAGTTTAAGTTTTCCATTGTTTTCTCTATTTAAATATATTCCCTAATGCATTCACTGCTCTAGGAAAGTAACTTTCCTAAAGTTTGGCCATGTCTGTTTTAATAGAATAGTCGAAGTGTTGGATATAAATTCCACCCRCTGAAGTCTTGAGAATTAGGAGTCTCCGTATAGCAGAAGATACCTGCACGGTAGCCCAGTAGGAAACACGCTGGGGTTTGGATGGAGCCCACGACATGGGCGTCTGTCGCTGCCTGCGGAGCTGCAGCGGGCAGGGATGGGAGCCCAGGGAGGCTCTCRCCCTTCCCCGTTCGGAGGCCTAGGAGGGAGCCCTATCAACCTTGTTCCTAGGGGGCAATATCATGCAAGGGGCAAGAGGTGTTGCTGTTAATGTAGCCCGTTGGAAAACTATTTATTTAAATGAGCAGGGAAAGCTTAAGGAAAATTAAGAAATGTTCATCTGTTGTGGTTACCTGTGTTAATCTRAGTATGAGTAGTGAATTGAGCAGGCATTTCTGAGCATATATAAGGGAATACAGGAGTATCTAAGGAAAGCAGCAGCCACGTGTTTCTTCTTCCATAGATTTATGCTTTGCTGGCACACGCACAGAAGCCACAGTTAAACTATGGCTATTAAAAACCTAATGACCTGATAATGTCTAGGAGCTCAGTTCCTTGGTTGCCAGAGAAAAGAATCAGGAGCCAAGAACTGCCGAGTTTCAGCTTTTCYGTTTCTCCATTTATTGCCTTGAAAAATGTACTTTCTGCCTCACTTCCTGTAGTTRTGAAAAGAGTCGTTTTGCTTCCTACCTCACAGGGATATTGTGAGGATTGACCAGCTAAGATCTGTACGACAGGTTATTTTTTGTCTTTAGCTTGGATATCACACTCCAGTAGGAGTGTGGACGAGTACTTGAATCCATCATACGTGCTGGATACCGAGCCCTGTGTCTTCTCCTACTTGTATCAGTGTAAAGCAAGTCAATATGGTGCTGAAACCTGGGGAAGAAGGAAGAACAGACTCTCTCAGTATACACCAACAGTGCTGCAGATACCTGGATGTTCCACTCCATTTTTTTTATCTTAGGAACATTATCATAATACCAACAGCCTCCTACCTGAACTCAGGCGTCCATACAAGGCACCTGCAAGCTGTGACTCCGCTTTGCCTTAAGGATTGCAAAGCAGGATTAGAAATTAAAACACTCCTGGAGGGTTTCCCTGGCCGTGGGAGCTGAGCGCACACTGCAGCACTAGCTCTGGTGGTCGCTGTAGTGGGAGATTCCTGATGCTCTTCCATGGCTCTAGGAGATACAGTGTGAGTGAAGGTGTATGGGGTATCAYCTGTATCATCCCCTGGTTGACAGCACCTCCCAAGGGGAGGACAGGTGTGTCCCAAGAAGGTGATGATTGTGCCATGTTCTCGTGTTGGACTTGTCTCACATTGTGTTTTAGTGACTTTTGCCCCTGAAAAATAAAAAAAGAAAGGATTATATAATTATACTGTAAGCTTGGTAAACTGTATGTCAAAGTCCTATGTATTTGCAAAACAATCAATTAAAAGAAGTTTAAAATTCCAGGTTGTGTCCAGTATTATTATTTTGTTGTTGTTGTTAATTGTTCTCTGCCATTAGGAACATCAAGCAGTTGGCATGTGCAGATGGTCTTGTCCCCCCTCACCACCAATGGAAGAATCTGAAGATGCTTGTTTAAGGTGGAGGGATGTGAGAAAACAGAGCAAAGCTCAGACAGCGACTGGATTGCCCCTTTCTACGTCTGTTCTTTTCTTCATGTCTGTTTTGGGTCACAATGAAACATACTAATTTTCACATTCCTTTTCTTTGATGACTTTTCAGACAGGTCAAATAATGGACTACAAACGTAGCTTTTTTAGAAAAGTGATTAAAACTGCTATGGAAATGATGACATTTAACCTTTTCATCACTGATTTTAGTTTGCAGCCACAAACGAATGGCAGAGTTGAGATCAGTGACTCAGATGCCATTAAAAACTGCAATATTCCCTGTGGCAGAATCTTTGCAAAACTATAAGGAGATGCTTCTCATGGTACTCGATGAGAAATGAAAAATCATCCTGATCTTTCCTTGTTCTTCTGTCTTACAGATGGTATTTGCTGATACTTGGACGTTGTTTCAGGTGTTACAGATGTTTTCAGATTCTTTCTCAAGTAACTTGCAGCCAGAGGGAGAAAAAAAAAAGCCAAGTGCATAAATGTGTTAGCAATAAAACTGAAAGATGGTGAAATTAGTCTGCAGCAGCATAACCCTGTTCTCATTAAAAGTAATTCAGCATTTTTAGGACATGTTAACTGCTGTTGCGAGGAAAAGAGGATGAAGATTCATCTGTAAATCTAAAGTAAACCGCAGATTTACAAAATCCAATTTATAAGTACCTTTCCTCAGTCATGTGGGAAAGTAATTTTCTGTTTGTAAACAGGTCAATAGTTATAAAGAAAATGCCACAAACCAGTATGGGTGAGGAGTCTGCCTATAGTGGTGTGAACTGAAGAGAGAAACTCTTAAGAATCAGCGATAGGTTCATTCCAGAAATGAAAAAGGTCATAACTGGTAATTATCTGAATCATCAGTGTTATAAATCTCTACCTAACAAGTTGTGTGACCCTGTGCAGAACAATCCCGTTGAGGATGGATCAATGGGAGAGCTTGTTTCTATGGGGATGCTAATTGCTGGCAGATTATTTTCACAGCTGAGCAGAAGTGGATGGAAAGGTCGGAAGGTGGCAAATGGAGCAACGTGGAGGAAACAGGAGCTTGCAGGTGAGTGACCTCCCGGGCACAGCCCCTCTCCCGGCGGGAAGCGCCCAGCAGGGCTGGCCCCTGCGTTTACACTTTATTAGCAGGGTGGAGAGTGGCGAGATGAGTGGCAGTCGAGCCAAGACCCCGAAAACCCTGCTGCCCGTGAGGTTTCCGCTGCCTCCTGACCCTGGTTTTCCTTGGTTTTCCTGTTGTAGGCATTGGTTGTTAGTCCTGCCAGCCCCCCTTGTATCCAATAAGTAGCTGTCTCTTTTTAGACTTAGGTGGAACGTACTACCCGTTCAGGTGGATGGCAAGGGTTTTTCATTCACAAAGCCTGGCCTGTGTTTTTGATGCTGAGTTGCCCCTGGGCAGCTGCACTCTCA